CTTTTTTTTTAACTTACATAATAATAAAAACAAAATAATTTTTTTGTTTGCTTTCAGAATAGTTTTCGTACAAAGAATGATCCACTTTCAGCTATTTATAAAACATATAAAGGTGGTGGTTATGTTGTTTCATTAGGTCGTACATATCAACAAGCTATGTCAGTATTGAATGAACTTCATTTACAAAATTGGCTTGATCAATTAACTCGTGCAGTTATTATTGATTTTTCATTTTATAATGCAAATGTTAATTTATTTATTGCTGTTACACTTTCATTTGAAATGACATCAATGGGTTCAGTTATACAAGATTATCGTATTAAAATCTTTCGTTTATATGATCATATTGGTAGTTATGGTATAATTGTGTATATATTTGAACTTTTGTTTGTTATGTTTACAATTTATTCTACTATACATGAAACTTTATTAATTATTAAACAAAAAAGAGAATATTTTAGAAAATTTTGGAATATAATTTCATTTATAACAATTGTATTTAGTATAACAACAATTATAATGTATGGAACTAAAAAGGCATTAACACGATTAGCTATTCGATCATTGAAAAAAACAGAAATGGGTAAAGTCAATGAAAAAAAAATTATAGAATCTCGTTTTTTTATTTTTCTTTATTTAAATAGGTGAATTTGTTAATTTTAATGCCATTGCAAGTTTTGATGAAGTTTATTCATATATTGTTGCATTAATAACATTTTTTACAATGCTTAAATTTTTAAAATTACTTCGATTTAATAGACGTATTGAAATGTTATCAAAATCATTGCGTTATGCTCGAAAAGATTTAAGTTCATTTGGATTTGTTTTTCTTATATTTATTCTAGCTTATGCACAAGTCGGTTTTGTTATATTTGGTCGTTCACTTCGTGATTATAAAAGTTTTTTTACTTCATTAACAACTTGTTTTCGAATGCTTTTGGGTGAAATCAATGCTCCAAACATGATTGCTGTTAGTCGAGTCTATGGTAAATTCATATTTTAATCAAGAAGAATTAGGAAACAAAAAAAAAAAATCTTGATTTATTTTTTCTTTTTAGGTACACTTTATTATCTGTCATTTGTTAATCTTGTATTTATTGCTTTATTATGCATCTTTATAGCGATGTAAGTATAGAATAATGATTAAATTACTTTTCTAGCTGAGATTTCCTTTTTTTGTTTTGTTTTTGTCTTTCTAGTTTGAATGATGCATTTGCACGTGTTAAACGAGAATTAATTGCAACACATTATCGAAATGAAATGATGGAATTTATGTGGTCAACATTTCGAAAAACTGCTGGAATTAATAATCGAAAAACATCAGAGAATGATGATGAACAGATGAAAATGAAATGTATCAAGAAGGAAAATAATGCTCCATTGGCTAATTTTGATGCTGATGAACTTTAAAGCTTTAAATGTAAACAATTATTCAAAAAAAAAAATAATATTATGCTTTTGTTCAGCTTTAGTCTTATTTTACTCACTACATATTCAGCTTCAAAAGATAATTCGTCAATAAAATTGGCTTATATAGCATATTTAGGATTTTGTTTGTGAAGTCAGAAACTAAACATGTAATGTTGAAGGAAAAGTCTGTGATAATATTTATCTGATTTAGACATACAGAATGGCTGATCGGTCGGATATAATATATGCACATACACTTGACTTTTATAATCCTAGGAAAAGCATCAAAATGAAGTAACTTGTTCGAATAATGCTATTCCTTTCCTAGTATCCTGCGCACACTATCTTAATAGAAATAGTCATTATTCATTCAACTCAATGCAATGTAACTATATAGTTCACATTGAAACATCTTAACTCGTTTCAGATTACTCTAAATATCATGGGTTGACGAGAAATTAAAGGACCCTACTAGAGAAGATAGGAAATATGGTACCATCCACCCCCATGTTTGACTTTCAATAGGCTAGAAAGATAGACCATGAAATTCTGGACATTTCTGTGTATTTATTTTAATTCTTGAGGATGTGTAGGTGTAGGTGTTGGCGTGAGTATTCTTCTTTTCTCAATCACATTCATCTTACAGCTACACCTACCCATACCCGATTCCAAATAGTCTAATATGATAGAAAATCTTAGCCTATCCATTCATGAAAAAATTTTCTTAAACAAACAAACAAATCATTTATAAATGTGGTTTTATTAATCAAGCCAAAAATAGCTGAGATTATACATTTACCCCAAGTTGGGTAAATGTATAATGTTGATGGAGGTCTCGGAAAATCCAATACCACTACGTTATACTGCAAGATTTTTGGAAACTAATTTCATAGATAGATAAAGGAGAAATTTCTCTACATAGTTTGTGAAGAAAGCTTTTTTAAATATTGAAAAATAAAAAAGAGATAAAAATGTTCGATTTTTCTTCTACTTTTAACCCAACCTACTCTACCATTCGATTTGTTAGTATATACCAAGACAGAAGCTAAAATTTTAGTAAAATGCTTATAATTCTAAACAGATATTCTAAGGTAACTTATTCTTTAGAGATTCTTCATATTTCATTGAAGTCTATCTTATACATAGAGCTTGAATTTAAAAGCAATTAATTACTTGAAAGACATTTTCTCACCAGAAAATTTTAATAGACAATTCAAATAAAAATTTTTGTATTTCTATTTTATTTGTATATAGATATCAATTTTTTTATTCAAATATTATAACTAATTTAATTTTTAAAATTTTTCCTTGTAAAAAAAAAACAGTCATAAACAAAAATATTAATATCAAATAAAAATTATTATTAAAATAAATCATCCATCGTCATTATTTAAAATATAGGTAAATATGAAATTAGAAAGACAGAAATAGAAATCGTATATTTTTCTTTTTTTGAATGAGATACTATTTCATAGAAAATTCAATGGATATTTTGCTGAAAATCTATGTGCTCGATGTAGATTCATCTCAAGCATGTCATGCCAAAATTATTTTATATTAAATAAACTAAGAAAAATAATTTTACTGACAATGATATTATGAAAATATATTATTCAAATTAAAGTTACAATAAAAAAAATGTTTTTTTCAAAATAATATGAAAATGAAAAAATAGATCAAAAAATAAAAAGTAAATTTATGTATCTAATATAAGAAGATTATTAAATAATAATCAAGTAGTTCATTTTAATAGTTTGTACAAAAAAAAAGAATTGAATCGATATAAAATGAATTCTGTTTCCTTTCAAGTTTGTGATGATCTATAAGACATCTTTATTTATCGATATTTTTATTATTGTTGGAAAAATGAGAACTTTTCCTGTTGCATTTTCTATATTAAAAAAAATCGTAAATTTCTTTGAAAATAATAGTTTCTTAAGTAAATGTGATTTCTAAATTATTTATGAGTAGATATCTTAAAATAGATATACACAATTTCAACAATAATTTCACGTATTTTTAAATAGGGATAAAGATTGTTTGGACAATGAAATTTTTAGATTTAAAAATAATTTATCAGATCATTTTCTCATTGCCATAGAATATTTTTATATCAACAGTAAAATAAAAAACTGTTCTAATTGTGAAAGTTTACATCAATAAACATCACCAAAACATGAACTTGAAGAACAACATTGAATCATTTGTGTTGAAATTTGATATAGTAATGGCATAGATTAATTAGTTTATTGTTGAATTAGTCGTCATATAAAACTAAAAATACCATACAATACATTTTTATGCAAACAAATGCATCTCTAATTTTTCGGTTTTTGTTTATTTTCATATTAGTTTGAAATATAACAAAAAAAAAATATTTATTCTATTTTAACTTTAATTTGGATGATATATTTTCATAATATCATTGTCAATAGATCAATTTTTTATTTCTTAGTTAATATAGAATAACTTCAACAATAAATTTTGTCTAAGTTATAACTTCAGTAACCTTCGTTTTCGATGATCAACTTCAGGATAATAGATTTTTTACAATTACTTTTTTTTAAAAAGGAGGTATTTCCATATTACTTTTATTATTCTAGATAAAAACATGCTATTAATAAAAAAATAATTATTTTTTAATATGTCGATTTCAAAGATTACTATCAATGCATGAAAAAAAACAACGAAAACTATACTATGTCATTATCAATGGAATCGAACTCAAAAATTAAAGAACTTATTGATGCAAAACAATATAAAGAAGTTCTCGATATTGTCGATTCAAAATTTGAATTATGTATAGATTATACTATCAGTATTGCAATAAATACTTGTAGTATAATAAATGATTATAATCGTGGTTTGAATATTCAACAAAAACTTCCATCAAATTCACTTAAAAATTCTTATGTTCAAGCATCATTAATTTGATTCTATACTGAGTCATTGATTCTCTCAGTTAGAATATGATTATAGAATAATATAAATCTATGAATACTTTGATGAATGAGGTCATGTTTGTTTTTCGCGATAAAATTCTTTTTTATTTTTTCTCTTGTCTGCATAAAAATAAAATCTTCATAATTATAGATTTTATTTATACATCGACAAAAATTCTTCGATGTCTCAAACTACTCCAATAAATTCACCAGTTTTTCTTCCACACATAGATAATATTCTTTAATATTTTTTTATAAAAACATTAAGGATGAATCAATAAAAGTATTGGAACAGTTATTAAGGTCTTAAACTAGATTTTTCAAAAACTGATTTCACTTCATGAGACAAACACAAAAAATCACTATAAAAATCAGTAAATAAAACGCCTCCTATTTATTTACCCTCAATATTCAACAAAAAGTCCATCACTTAGTACCATGTTGAATAATACTGACTATTTACCGATATTGATCATCTTCTTTTTTTATGCTTATCACAATGTCATGATATGGGCAATGCATCTCGTCTACTCTCCACAATAACAAACAAATTCAATTATATCTACACAGCTATGTTCAAAGGTCAATATTTTTTATGATTTTTGGCGTATTAAATCTTTGTTATCGTTAGGTTTAATCTCTAATAACATGCCAGAAAAAGTGCTCGATTTATTAGATGAAATGACAATTGAACCTAATAATTTTACTCTCGCACTTTTATTTAATGCATGTGCTCGAGTTGCCAACGATCGAGCAATGAGGATTGGAAGAAAACTTCTTGATGAAATACCTAATGATTTCAGAAATGATACTGTCGTATTAACTTCAGCAGCACATATGTTAATGAAATTTGGTGAAGCTGAAAGTGCTGAACATGTTGTTAAATTAGTAAGAAACAAAGGTATTATTACGCATGGTGTTCTAATGAATGGTTACAATATCAATGATGAAACGTGGAAATATTTTAAAATTTTCGAAGAAATGAGAAAAAAAAAATTATTCCCAATGAGACCATAAAGTTCTCCAAGAATCAAGGGCAATAAGGTATTTCTCTTAGCAGTCATCTCTATTGTTCGTTCAGCAGTAAAAGAAAGCGTTCTTAGAAAAATGTATTCTTGTTGAAATGAACAATGATCACTATTTAAAATTTTATGAGACGAATAATTTGAAATTAAAAATCTTTTGCTTTCTACCCAATTTCAAGTACCTAGAATATAAATGTATTTAAATCTCGAATAGATTTAAATATCATTCAAGCTAGAAAACTTTTCTGTTTGATGTAGCTCGATTAACAAGTTTGTTGTGTCTTCTTGATGATATTCAATTTTCTGTCTTGACGACTGGACAAATAATATATTGGCTTTAAAACTATCGCAATCTATTTCTCTTGCTTTTTGGATTGCCAAAAATTTAAGACAGTATCGTGAACTGCTTCTTTTTCAATTGCTGTTCAATTTTGTTCGATATATTCGCTAGATTCTGGAATGTATTTCTTGAATTGAACTTTTCGAAATCTATGTGCAATACTTCACAAATCATAATTTGTATTTTCATCAATCTACTCAATTATATTCTCCAATTCTTCTATCGAAATACTACTGTTAACAGCCAGATATTAATTGATTCTTGTCAAAACCGTCATCATCATTGTTACTCTCGCGTTCATCCATCATGCCATCGTATTCATCATCGAATTCAATATTTTGATAAATATAGAATTAAATCAAAATAGCTGTTTTTATTATCTTTTAGAATTTTGAATAATTGTTGTGAAGCAAGCATTTCATTCGAACTTGTCACACAATTTGCAGAGCCAACTTTAAATTGAGCCAAATGTAGAAGATACACTACAATGCTCACTAAATTCATATCTCTTCAAGTCGATATTTGACCAATTTTGATACAATATTTACGGAGAAATCTTATGGAGAATGTTTTTTTTCTTGTAAAAGTTTACTTGATGGTGACATCTTAATGTCAATGGTGGAGATATAATCCATAAAGCCTATTCCTATATTAATCATAGGTTTTTTTCGATTTTCGAACTCCTCTTTCCTATGTCATCATTGATAGCATTGAATTATCTGAAAAATCTGCTAGTTGTCATAATTTAAGGATGCTATATTATGCGAACAACCCTATAGAGCGCTAAGTGATGTATCAACACATTTATTTTTAAGACGTCTTATGTATGGTTCGATTTAGATATACGATGTGTGCTGTCATTTTTCAGTCCAATATTACTGACATTTCAGATAACATAAAAATCAGATTAGGTTTAACATATCTGATATCTCTCAGAAAGATTCTAGAAACTTATTGTCTGAAAAATAATAAATTTCAAGAGATATCAATAATTCTTATGTGCTCTTGTTTTTATACCTAAATTTCAAATACCTTGAAATTCGAATATCTCGTTTTAGACACGTCATGGGAATTCTTTTATTTTAAAATTGTTAGTTTAGTAAGTATAATAATTTTGTGCATCCTGATGTTTTTGTTCCTTAACAAACAGATACGTAAGAAACGAAAACAGAATAGTTAATAATGTTGATAATCCACCACAAATAAGTAGAATAATAGCAGCTTGAATACTTGGTTTATTCCATTGAACTATTGATAAATCTCTAGTATCATACCAACAGGAATAATGTGAACCAGCCTTAAATATTAAAAAAAAAAGACAAAAGATATTATTCTATGTATTCACAAATTGAATATGAAATTGTTCTAATTTTAATTATAGGACAATGACTAATCTGAAATAATCAAAGAGTTTATACGCGAAATTGTATAAGTCCACTTCTCAAAAAAATTTTAATCTCAAAATATAAAATTTTATTTTTATTTTACTGAAGAATTCGATCTATATTATTAGAACACATAATCTTTTTTGTTTCTATGCGAAATATCCATAGATCTTATAATTCAAGTGATTATTTTAAATTTAATTGTTTGTCTTTAAAATCAATTTTTTTTTGTCTCATATTTTACTTGCCTGATGTATATTTGTTTCGCTATGACTATCCGATTCATATGTGTATCGCTTCGTTCCTTGTATTGTTGCAAATATTTCTTTATGTTCATTATACTGTATGAACCATGCTGCTACATAACAAGTGTATGGAACAAAGATTAGTACACATCTATAAGATTTCCAATGTATCTGACTAACTATACACGTAGTATTAACATAATTCAACACTTTGGAACTTTCTTCTACATAAAAGATACAACCAATAGTGAAGAGAACAGTTGTTGCAGTAAAACATATGAAAACAAGTGATGCACCAATGGTTACTTTGAAATTTTTAATCTTGTTTAGGGCCATCAGGAACCATCAACAATATTACTCTTATAAAAGTGATCTATTATCTGTCTATTTGTCCTTTTTATATGTTTTATGCAACATGCACGTCGTTGAATAATGCAAATTATTATCGTGTTTGCTTATTGACAATAAATGTCATGTGAATAAATTTAATAATAGAAAATTATGTATTGCTGCAAAATTTAATAGTCTTAAAAGTAGACTGATACAAAGTTTCACCCTTAGTGATCTTTTCCGCCAACAATTTTTTTTTTTGACATAGATCTTTTTGAACAGTGTCTAACACACAAAATAGAATTCATTTTTTGAATTTATTCAGATGTTTTTTATTCATCAACATTTTTTTTCAATTATTAATTCGAGATTTAATGTTGTGAGAACAAAGCATAGGAAATTTTTCGAAAAGCTCTTATTTGAGTACTGATTCTTTTAGATTGATATTGAAAAATCCACAAAACCTAGAATACATGATATTGCCATATATACAGCCTGAACAATCATGAAAAAAAAGTTGCATGGATATAATTCAGAAACTATACTACTCTCACATAAATATGCGTGAACATTCGTGTATATACACGTCTATTTTATGAAATGAGAATAACATCAACAGTATGTGACCGAGTAATACAACTGCCATCTATTGAACGTCATGACTGTCTCATAAATATTTTCTTGTTTGAATATGTATTTTGACAACAAGCAAGAAAGTCAATATACCCTAGATTTGCGTAAAATAAATTTGATGAACAAATTTATTTTTAATGCAGACAATGTGATAACATACATAATTACACAATACGTGCAGTACTGACTCAAACAATTATGAGTTTTTTATATCATGTAGTTTGTGCAACAAGAATTAAGAAGACTCTTATATTGCTACGCAGTTTCTCTAGAATGAAGTTTCGTCGTGTACATAATTCACTGTGTTTATACGCCATGAATATTTCGATGTTCATATCAAAGTTCTATTTCTTGCATCAATATGCTAGATTTTTACATTCAAACATGTTAAATTATCTAGTTTACAATCGACATTTTAATCAAGTTAAATGCTTCTGCTTCCAGTATTAAAACAATGAGAGGTGCTAAAGTTGCTTTAGTAAAAAATTATTATCAAAGTAGTTTTTAAATAATTAACATATACACTTACGAGAAAACATTTCATTGCTGGTCATTCCCTACTGAGTTGGAGGTATTTTTTGCTAAGATTTCAGCTTGTAGCAATGTATGATATAGAGAAAATATCAAATTACGATATTTTGACCTCAACTTTTACCTCTGATATACACTTTTGAGATCTTCAAAATAATACAACAATAATACTTAAATAACTAGATCGATATAGCCTTTTTTTTGATAATTATTTAGAAATTGCATGATCTCAACTGTTCCTCTACAGCTAGATGGTTGTTATATTCCATTATATGTACAAAGACGTATTCTTTGTATTGTATGGAATCTATTAGTGAGTCCATGCATAAGACTATCATATCGTAAAAGAATATGAGTAAAAACGATAAATTTATAAAAATATACAACTGGTCAAAAAATTCTTAAATGATATGAGTTTCACTCATATTTTCTTCATGAAGTTTCTTTTAACATTGACTAGCTTATTTAGATGGCATGGAACAAGAGACTGACTCAATATTATTGCTAGACAAATTCAACATTTCTGTTATTTTGACTAGTGTTTCTTTCTCTACTAAATAGCAATATCGCCTATATATTTGCTTTTATATAATAATATAGAAAAGTTTTGAAAGAGGTTCCAGATATTTGATTTACAATTTCAATAAAGTATTGAGCTGTAGATAGTTTATAAAATGAGATGCTCTTTTGTGACAAGCAATTGATCCAAGAATCCATATCACTGTTTTATAAGAGTTTATAAATCAATAACTGTTTTGTATTCATATCGATGAGTTTGAGGGTAGCATTTTTGTATGTTCATACCTCAAAGTTCTCAATGTTTATTGTACAATGACTTGTATTATCAAAATGTGAAAGATTTTGTATTATTTCCTTTGATTTCTTTTTCGTTATAATCACTTAACACAATTCACTGCCAAAATAGTTTCATCGAAAATATAAACGAAAAAAAGTGAGAACTTCTTTGATACATCTTCACTTTGAGTTTTCGATTGATAAGAAATTCAGTTGTTTAAATTTAATACTATTTCGGATATCATAATACTGGAATCAAAATCAAGTAACTGATTTTTATGTGTCAGTACTGTATTGCTTGACACTTATATATAGGATTTACATATGATCAAATAGATTCAAATATGTAGAAATTCTTTTTATAATTACTCCTTAAAAATTCTCAATTGACATACAGCTCATGCACTAAAATGAATGCTATTTTTACACTTTGTAATGTTGTTTTCTCGAGTTCTTCAGAGATTATATCATTGTTTGCTTAACATCTTTTGAGTTTGATAGATGTAAAGGTTTATGAAATAAATACATGCAATATTTAGGCTTGTTTACATTATTTAAAATGTTGCTCCTTATTTTTCTTTCATTTAGTATTTCGAACACAAATAAAGGAGTGATTTTGATTTTTCGATTCGATAAACATTGTAATGCATTAAATGAAAATTTATTTCTGTTTAATCTATACAATATCAAGGAAAAATCTTCGAAATAAGGTGCTGGAGTAAATAATTTCATT